TGTCCAATAAAGGCGTTGCCCAGCGGTCTACAACCTTTCTTTGTTACTGAGAAGGTGGTGGTTTTCCTCCTCTTAATAGATTATTTTCCCTTATTCTGGTCTTCCTTCCTGATGATAAATTGACTTTTATTATTCTAACCGATTGAACATTAATTTAGAAGCTTTATTACTCATTTAGATTTTACTCAGTGACTTCAAGCGGAAAAAATGTGTTCTAAAGCCGAGAGAGAACCCTCCCATACAACATGTTCCCTGAGCCAAGAGAACCCTCCCATACAACATCCTCCAGCTGTTCTCAAATAGGGAAAGAATTTGCCCATGTGGCATCCTTAGGCACTTCCCACAAAAGTCAGCCCAAAGTTTGTCTAGCTGAGAGGGAGTCTCCCCAAACGGCAACCCCTGGCTCTTCTATACCCAAGGGAGATCTCCTCCCACACAGTTTCATCCAGCATTTCCTGAGACAAAACAACCCCTCCTTATACAGCCCGGTAGGGTCTTCCTGAGCCAAGAGACAATGCTCTCACATGGCATCCTCTGGCTATTCCTGTTCCACCAACACGGTTATTAACTTTTATTAGTAAAGAAAAATCTAATTTGATACAAGCTACCAGAATGATTTTCCTCCCAGCTAAAGTCCTTCACAACCAAATGCATTTTTAAATGCTTACACAATGCAAGCTTAAAATACAATGGTTGAACTGCAGGCAGCAATGGCATAAACACAGACATAAATAGGCTCCTCTGATGGCCAGAATGCTTCAAGTCCTTTACTATGTTACTCTGACATGCCTTCAGTTACAGACTCAAGTTTGCATTCACATGCTCCCTTGTTCAATAAAACATGTCAGTGTGGTCATTTTTTCTTTTTTTATAGGAAAATACATGTGGGCTTGTGATTTACATCATCATAACCTCCCACTCTGATATTTTTGGGGACATACTATATTTTAATATGGCTTCTAAAATTAATAAGCGCTCTAATTTGCCATAGCTCTGCACTTTGGGCAAATGAGGGTATTAAAAGTTGAGCTAGTTTCTCATCTTGCTCTTTTTAGAAGCGTAAATTAAACAGAACTTAGCCTTTATAAAGATCTCCTCTTTCTTTTTGCAGCTGAGGCACCAGATGGGAAAAGGACAGGAAATATTTTTTTTAAAAATTATTTCAATTAAAAAGAGAAATGACTTACACCTCATTCCTTTCTGAGCTACAGTTATCTGTGCAGATCAATGGGAATGTCATACACAAAATATAAAGCAACAGAGGGTCCTGTGGCACCTTTGAGACTAACAGAAGTACTGGGAGCATAAGCTTTCGTGGGTAAGAACCTCACTTCTTCAGATGCAAGTCTTGCATCTGAAGAAGTGAGGTTCTTACCCA